AAATTTCTATTACTAAAACGATCAGAAATATATGGATGAAAAACAAATGATTGGAAGTGGAGAGTTGTGCAGAAGTGTGATTGGACAAATCCCAGCACTTTGGGAGGCCGAGACGGGCGGATCACGAGGTCAGGAGATCGAGACCATCCTGGCTAACACGGTGAAACCCCGTCTCTACTAAAAAATACAAAAAACTAGCCGGGCGAAGTGGCGGTTGCCTGTAGTCCCAGCTACTCGGGAGGCTGAGGCAGGAGAATGGCGTGAACCCGAGAGGAGGAGCTTGCAGTGAGCTGAGATCTGGCCACTGCACTCCAGCCTGGGTGACAGAGCGAGACTCCGTCTCAAAAAAAAAAAAAAAAAAAAAGAAAAACAAATGATTGGAAAATATATTGTCATTATAAAATTTACAGTGGTAGCACATATACAACCTGACAAAATGTGCACAATGTTTAGACTATTCCATCAGAAACACTTCTTCAAAATTCCTATACTTTCTGAGATGGGTGGAGTTTGGTATGGTAGGCAGGGAGTGATAAACTGAGGTGAGGTTGGAAAATCAGGTTGGGCTCAAAAGCTTTGAAATCCATTCTTAGGAGTTCTAATTTTCTCCAAAAAGCAGACAAATGGCATGATTAATCAGTATTCTAGAAAAATCTTTCAGGCTGAGGTATGGATTGGACAGGGGAGGAGATTGTTAGCAATGAGATCTATTGGTCTATTATAGATGCACCTATGAAAAGTATTCAAGGACTGAGTGGTGCTGTTTATAGAGCACCCTTGACATCTGTAACTCCATCTTAGAAAAAGACTCATCTTACATTTCAGAATGCATCATACCAACAGGGATCAGATGTTCGCCTAATCAACAGAGACTGCAATCAATCGGATAAAGACATAACCAGGCACACTCTTTACTATCAATTCAGTCCTCAATAGAATATTCTGGGGCCATAAGAATAGCAAGACTTCACCAGCTCAAGAGGGCCATCTTGATAGACCGAGTTATGCTGTCACTTGTAATTAGCACCTGGCACTTGAGGTTGAAGGCTCTGCCCAAATAAAAGACTCTTCCGTGCAAGTCATTGACGTCCATCAGATCAGGCCAGGACTCTCCTTGTCCATGTCACTCTCCTTGCACTGGTTCATTTGACCCCATTTTCCTAACCCTTTTTATCTTGATGTTAATTGTTTGTCTGATATGGAATGTTTAATCTATAACATTTATATATTAATTATGCTACCATGTGTGATTTGCAATATTGACTGACTTGTGGCTTGAGTCCTTGTGCCCATGGCGCTAACTACTGAGTGAACAGGTTGTGCTAAGAAGAATTGCTTCCTTGGGAACTCCATGTAGCTCGTGACTTTTACGATTGAAATAACACCAATAAAAATCTGACCTTGTGGAAAGATACAAACATACACAGACTTGGTTATGTCTCATCTTTTGCTGCTCACAATACAGTTACAGTGGTATTAAAGAAGAGCAGTGGATTCTGAACACATTTCAGAATTATGACGTCAGGTTTGGACATGGCTTTTGAGGCAGAGGAGCAAGTTAAAGAAGCTTTCAGTTAAAGTATAATAATAATAATAATAATTAAAAAAAAAGAAGCATTCAGTCTCTTGGTATCCTCATTGATAAAGATGGAGGTGGAGGCAAGGTGATGTAGTAGTAATTTCTTTTAATAAGCAATAACTTCTAAAATGCTTTTCATAATTGCTCCCAATTAGATAAATGGAAATGGAAAAAATAAATTTAAAAAGGCTAATAAAAACCTTGCTGAAAGAGAACAAGGGTACAAAAGAGAAGCAGGGAAAGAAGAGATAGGGAAACAAAAACATCAAAATTTGACTGAAATTTGGGTAAAAATAATTAAGGTTAAACCTAGTTTAGGTTAGGTAAAACTCAAGAATTTGATTTTTTGTATCTTAGGGATTTGATAATGCAGCAAAAAGTTACTAAGAGGAGTACAGAGAGATCTTTTTGGTGTGAACACCAAAGAGAACACAAAAATTGAGCTTCACATTACTTATTACTTGGTAAACTGTTTCATTGTCAATTAATGCTGTATAATAAACCTCTTTATATAGATTATTCTTCCACAACATAATTTTAAATGGGTGGATAATATTGCATTATATAAATATACCATCCCCCTCTAGGGGCCTGCCCAGACTTTAGTCTAGTTATAGATCTAGAAGCAAACAGGGGTTTGGGGGATGGTTCCTGAGGAGAATCAACATTATCCTGCCTGGCAACTGGCTCAGGCAGTCTATCACTGTTGCCTCAGGCAGTGCAAGCTTTATCCCCTCAGACAAAGGTGGAAAGGCTGATGTCAGCATGGATTAGGGAGGGGATGTTGCCACTACTGAGGATGGGGAAGCTATTCCTTCTGGCAAAAAAGGTTCATCAGAGTTTACAAATTCAGTGTCCCCAGCTTCATCAGGCTCCTCTCACACGTCCCCATTCCAAGTTGCAGGGTCCCATTCTTTTTTTCTTTTTTTTTTTTCTGAGACGGAGTATCGCTCTGTCAACCAGGCTGGAGTGCAGTGGCACGATCTCAGCTCCCTGCAAGTTCCGCCTCCCGGGTTCACACCATTCTCCTGCCTCAGCCTCCTGAGTAGCTGGGACCACAGACGCTGCCACCGCGCCCGGCTAATTTTTTGTAGTTTTGGTAGAGACGGAGCCAGGAGAGACGTGTTAGCCAGGATGGTCTCGATCTCCTGACCTTGTGATCTGCCTGCCTCAGCCTCCCAAAGTGTTGGGATTACAAGGGTGAGCCATCACACCCGACTGCAGGGTCCCATTCTTTTCCATTCAATGCCCTCACTTTAACAGTAGATAGCTGGGGAGGCTGTGCATGCATCTTTCTTTGCAGGTCAGCCCCTCCCATGATGAGTTTATGTCTGTTTTTCCACAATTTCAGCTCTTTCTCTACAGCTGTTTCTCACTCAGGGCAATCTTAGTAGATTTGAGGCTAAATATCTGCTTCTGTAGCCTAGAGTTAGAATACTTGAGTTCATCATCTTCTTTCATCACTTTGTCCAGTGAACTTAGGAGCAACCAACCAACTTCATTATGTTCCTTGATTCTCTACAAATAGTCAAAGGTAGTAGGTATAGAGTCACTAAACTCCTTGCGTCTCACGAGCGGTGAGTCAAGAGTGTCAGATGCACTTATCTTGCATAACTCTCTAAACAGTTCATGCCAAGAACTATCAGTTTTCTCCATACTATTAGAAGTAGAGATTTTAGCATTTTGGGGTCTAATCATATTAAGCAGACAATTCCAGAAACCCCAAAACCAATGAAAGAACTCCTTCCTTAATATTCTGTTCCTCTAGAACCACTCCTGGTTCCAAAATCTGTATTAGTCAGGGTTCTCGAGAAGAACAGAACTAATAGGATAGATATACATACATACAAAAAGGAGTTCATTAAGGAGTATTAACCCACAAAATCACAAGGTCCCACAATAGGCCGTCTGCAAGTTGAGGAGCAAGGAGAGCCGGTCAGAGTCCCAAAGCTGAAGAACTTGGAGTCTGACATTTGAGGACAGGAAGCATCCAGCATGGGAGAAAGATGTAGGCTGGGAGGTTAGGCCAGTCTAGCCTTTTCACGCTTTTCTGCCTGCTTTATATTATGGCTGTGCTGGTAGCTGATTAGATGGTGCCCACCCAGATTAAGGGTGAGTCTGCCTTTCCCAGCCCACTGACTCAAATGTTTATCTCCTTTGGCAGCACCCTCACAGACACACCCAGGATCAGTGTTGTGCATCCTTCAATCCAATCAAGTTGACACTCAGTATTAACCATCACAAAAATTTTAGTTGATTTCCTATTTTTCACCAATGAATAGTATTCCAACAAACATTCACTGTAGCCAAACTTTCAAACATGTATTGAAGAATCTATCTTTACTGGAATTGAAAAGTAACTGTCTCTGTATATTACATTTCTATAAATATCTGAGTTCCTTCTGGACTTTACATTGTGTCATTGAACTGCACTTGTTCCTCTCTATTTTAATTACTTTTTTCTTATTTATTTTAACACCTATTAAGTCACAAAGCACACTTTATTTCCAAAAATCTCTTGGCCATTTTAAAAATTTATTTCTTACAGGTAATGTTTTTAATAACTTTGACACTAATTGGACTTATAAGATATTTATAAATTAATTTGGAAAGAGCTGATTTTAAGCAGTGCATATTTAAGAATTAGGGTATTCCTATTCTTAGATAATTCTCAATTTTATTAAAAATAAGACTTTTTACTTTTACCTTTGATATCAGCTTTTGAACTTTAATATATGGTCTACAACATACAAGAAGCTAATTTTTTTTTTTTTTTTTTCCTTTTAAAATCGGGAATATAGACAGCAGGGCATGGTGGGATGACCTGGCATGGTGGTTCATGCCTGTAATTGCACTTTGGGAGGCTGAGTCAGGGGGATCACTTGAAGTCAGGAGTTAGAGACCAGCCTGGCCTACATGATCTCTACTAAAAATATAAAAATTAGCCAGGTATGGTGGCATGCACCAGTAGTCCCAGTTACTTGGGAGACTGAGGCATGACAATCACTTAATCCAGGAGGTGGAGGTTGTTGTGAGCTGAGATCACACCACTGCACTCCAGCCTGGGTGACAGAGCAAGACTCTGTCTCAGAAAAAAAAAAAAAAAAAAAATAAAATCAGGAATGTAAATGAAATTTAATTAGCTAAATACATTTCTGGTGTTAAACTGCTCATACATTTTATCCCTTATATAGTAAAGGATAAATAATATTAATAGGTTCAATATAAATTATACCTTGCATTCTTAGAGTAACTATACTTGATCATGAATGACATATTATCATTTTAAGGCAATGATAATTGTTTTGCTAACATTTTGTTTAAAGATTTTGTTTCTGAGTTCTGAAATGTCAATTATCTTTGATTTTTTAAAAATTCTTTTTAAAGATCACGTTTGTACTGTCTTCAGGAAATGAGAAAATGAATCCAGGAAATTTCCATCTTTAAATATACTCTATAAGTGTGCTGTCCAATACTCACATAGCTATTGAGACCTGGAATATAACTAGTCTGAATGGAGATGTTCTGTAAGTATATCATACACACCAAATTTCAAATGCTTAGCATGAAAAAGGTGTTCAAGTATTGTACTTTTGTATTGAATGTACATTGGAATAATATTTTGGATACATGAACTTTTACAAAATTTTATTATTACAATTAATATATAATTATAATTATCTACTAAATCAAATTTTTAAAATTTCTATTACTTATATGGAGTATTCATTTATATTTCTGTTGTATAGCTTCTCTCAATAACATTCTAAGTAGAAGATGAATGAACTAGTTCTTAGAAGTTGGAAAGGTATTCTCTGTCACAGTGATTAAATGGGTGTGGTAGCAGGGCATGAATATACACACAAATCAATGTAACAACATAGGAAATTCAGAATTTGCCTTTCTGGGGTAATGAATCTTTAATAAAAATTTTAATTTTTTGGTTATTGTTTTATTGAGCTTCTCTACCACATTTCCACCATTTTTTATAATGTATATTTCCTTAAACATTGCTTTTTTATTCGGATGTAAGAAGTTAATAGTACAGAGTCATACTTCCTTTAACACTGCACTACTTCTCAACTGGAGGTGATTTTGCCTTCCCCGACATTTGTAAATGTATGGAGATACATTCAGATTTTACAGATGGAAGTGGGAATGTGCTATTGCCATCTAGTTGGTAGAATCTAGGGCTACTGTTACAATGCACAGGACAGCCCCTTATAACAAAGAATTATCTGGCCCCAAATGTCAGTGTTGCTAAAGTTGAGAATTTTTGATGTCTGATAATATCCCATCCCCTTCATCATTTTTCAAGCTTAGGTTTTACCTCTTTTTTTTGTTTGTTTTTTTGCATTTAACATTTTCTGAGGTTTGCCTATGGTCTTTTCAAAGAACTGGTGCTTGAATTTATTTATCAGTTTTGCAATATTAAAATATTAATATTTTAATATTAAATATAAATTTAATATTTTATCATTAATTTTAAAGTAGTTCTTAATCTCTATGAAACTTCCCTTTTCTGTTTCTAAATGTAGAAGCAGAAAAGGGAAGTTTCATTTTGTATTACTTTTTACACCTTCTTGAGTGACATTCTTTTGTTAAGCACAAAGTGCTCCGTATTTTCCTATTAGTATACTTTTAAATCTGTTCCCATAGATTTTTAAAACATTTTATTGAAAGATAATTAATATAAAAAGAGAAAAGTGCAAACACCTTAGTCATAAAGCTCAATGAATTTATACAAACTGAACACACTCATACAACCATCACCAACTGAATAAACCTGTGTAATCTGTACCTAGATCAAGAAATAGAGTGTACTAGCTTCCCAGAGCCCTTCTTTCTAGTCACAATCCTCCCAAAGGTAACTAATACCTTAACTTTTAGTAGCATAGATTAATTTTGCCTTTTCTGTTCTTTGCGTAAGTGAAATCATAGTTTGCAGTTTTTGCATCTGGCTTCTTTGGCTCAGTATTATTTGTGAGCTTCCGCCATATTGTTATGTATAATTGTAATGTATTCATTCTTATTGCTATATATTATTTTATTCTGTGAATACATCACCATTTGTTTATCCATTCTACTCTTGATGGGTCATTTCTAATTATAGAGTATTATAAATATTGCTGCTATGAACTTTCTAGTAGATGTCTTTTGGTGAACATATGGATGCATGTCTGGTGGGGATATACTTGGAATATGTATTTTCAACATTAATAGTTTTGACCAGTTTTCCAAGTTGGTTGTACTAATTTCATTTCTACTAGCAAGATAAGGGATACTTGGTTACTCCATATCCGTGACAAAATTTAGTATTGATTGTTCTTTTTAATTTTGGCCATTTTGGTGGGTATGCAATGGTCTCACTTTGTGGTTTTAATTTGCATTTTTCTGATGATATGCGAAGTTATTTTTTCATATTTTATTGGCCATTTAGATACTTCTTTTGTGAAGTAACTGTTCAAGTTTTTTGTCTATTTTTATTTTGTATTTTCCTATTGATTTTTAAGTGTTCTTTTTTTCTGGATCTGAAGTCTTTGTTACACATGTACATTATGAGTATCTTCTTTCTCTATGGGAGCTGTTTTTTCACTCTCTCAATGGGGTCCTTGATTAACATAGTTTTATAATTTAAAAATTGTCCGGTGGATCACTGTTTTTCTTTGAAGAGGTGTGTTTTATTTCTTGTTTAAAAATTCTTGTTCTAAAGTTGCAAAGATGTTATCTCCTTTGTTGTATGGTAAACCTTCGATTGTATTAATATAATAATCACCTAGGTTTGATAGATAGACACTTAATTGGTTACATTCCAGAATCTAGAATACAATATAGAATTAGTTATATAATTTAAAGTACAGTTTTGATTTCTCTTGTTACCCAAAAGTTTCTTAGGAGGGTGTTTTAAAATTTCTTTGTTGTGTGATTTTTTGTTTACTATTATTATTAGAGTTTTAGTGTATTTAGATATGTGGTCCATATAATTTCCACATAAAATAATTTATTGTGCTTTCCTGTGGCATATTACATTACTGATTTTGGTAAAATATCCCTAAGATATTTGGAAAGAAAGAATATTCTCTAGTGGTAAAACTCAGAATTCCATATATGTATATATATAAGCGCATCATTAGTTATTATAGCAGCTCATATTAACTATTTATTATGGGCTGGACACTAATTTTAGTACTATATGTATAAACGTATTTAATCATCATTTCAATGATGTCATCCATTTTATAAGGGAGGATAGAAGGAAACTGAGGCAGCAAGATGGTAGGTGTATTATCTAAGGACTGAACTAGTTAAAAGGAGGAAATAAGTTTGAAATTCAAGTTATACAGCTCTGTAGCCAACGTTCTTGATCACAACTCTGTTTTACATGTATCTCTACATTGTTATATTATTATTTTCATATCCATAAAATTAACATACTAAATATGCAGTTAGACCTCTGTGTTCATGGATTTTGCATCCTTGGATTCAATCAACTGCAGATGAAAATTAAAAAAAAAAATTCATATAGAAAATATAGCACAATAATAATTTACATAGCATTTACATTGTATTAGGTATTGTAAGTAATATAGAGATGATTTAAAGAATGTGGGAGCAATGAAATACCATCTCACACCAGTTAGAATGGCAATCATTAAAAAGTCAGGAAACAACAGGTGCTGGAGAGGATGTGGAGAAATAGGAACACTTTTACACTGTTGGTGGGACTGTAAACTAGTTCAACCATTGTGGAAAACAGTGTGGTGATTCCTCAAGGATCTAGAACTAGAAATATCGTTTGATGCAGCCATTCCATTACTGGGTATAAACCCAAAGGATTATAAATCATGATGCTATAAAGACACACGCACAAGTACGTTTGTTGCGGCAGTATTCACAATAGCAAAGACTTGGAACCAACCCAAATGTCCATCAATGACAGACTGGATTAAGAAAATGTGACACATATACACCGTGGAATACTATGCAGTCATAAAAAAGGATGAGTTCATGTCCTTGTAGGGACATGGATGCAGTTGGAAACCATCATTCTCAGCAAACTATCGCAAGAACAGAAAACCAAACACCACATGTTCTCACTCATAGGTGGGAAGTGAACGATGAGAACACTTGGACACAGGAAGGGGAATATCACACAGCGGGGCCTGTTGTGGGGTGGAGAGGGGGGGAGGGGGCAGGGATAGCATTAGGAGATATATCTAATGTAAATGACGAGTTAATGGGTGCAGCAACCAACATGGCACATGTATACATATGTAACAAACCTGCACGTTGTGCACAGGTACCCTAGAACTTAAAGTATAATTAAAAAAAAAAAAAGAAAGTAGGAGGATATGCATAAGTTACATTCAAATACTACACCATTTTATATAAGGAAGTTGAGCATACATGAATTTTAGTATCCAAGATGGTCCTGAAACTCATCCCATTTGGATACCACGGTACGATTTGTAATAGTCAATTATTTTATATACTGAACTTTTGTGTTGATTGGCCAAAGACTGAGAAAACATTAAATGCTTTTTGCCATGACTACAATGTAAGTTTTTATTGTTTCATTGGATTTTGCTGTTTTTTTGAAGTGCCATGGTACATAGCACATACAAAGTTTTTATGTTTTACAAATTCGTTCTGGATTTTCCTTTTTATGAACAGAAAATAGTTCTCTCTGTCCTGTTTATGTTTAATTTGAAGTTTACCTTTTCTGAGATTGACACGTGTGTTTTGAAATTTGCATTTCCCTGGCGTATATTTACTTGTCTCTTTATTTCCAGCCTTTCTGTGATTTAAGTTCTTTACACTGCTGAAGAGTCATATAATTCTTTTTTCAAAGAATTTTCCAGCTTTATTGAGGTATGATTTACAAATAAAAACTGCATATACTTAAGATGTATAATGTGAAGATTTGATATACACATGCATTGTGAAAGGATTCTCAAAATCAAGTTAATTAACATATCAATTCACATAAGTACCTTTCTTGGGGGTGGGAACACTTAAAATCTACTCTCTTGGCAAATGTTAAGTTTATAATACATGATTATGAACTATAGTCACCACAATCTACATTAGATCTTCAGAAGTTATTAATGTTATAATTGAAAGATTATACTCTTTAACAAGTATCTTTCCTTTCTCCCCATCTCCCTGGCCCTGGTAACCACCCTTCCACTCTCTCTTTCTCTAGGTTTGACTTTCTTGGAGTCCACATATGTGAGATCATGCAGCATTTGTTTTTCTGTGCCTGGCTTATTTCACTTAGCGTAATGACCTCCAGGCTCATCCAGGTTGTTGCAAATGGCAGGATTTTCTTCTTTTTTAAGGCTTGGAGAGTCATTTGTTTTCATAAAAGGTATGTATTTCAATACTTTTGCTATTGATTCATTTTTAATAATTATTTTGGCGCTTCCTCCTTCACATTTTCTGTTTTTGATCTCCTTTCATTTTCCTTTCGAGGAGCTGGGTAGCCTAGTGGTTAAGCACTCAGATGTGGTACTCAGACCCTCTGGGCTTAACTCCTGGCTACACCATTTTGCTAGCCCTATAACTGTGAACAAGTTCCTTGATTTCTCTAAAATCGTATTTTCCTCTGCAATGGGTATAGCAACAGAGTCTATTTCATAGGGTTATTGTGAGGTTTGAGCGGGTTACTAAATTAAAGTATTTGGAACAGTGCTTTGCCCATAGTAACCACTGGGTAAACACTGCCTGTTATTATACTACTGTCTTCTCTCTTCTTAGATTTCTGATATTGCTTTTGTCTCTGTCAGCTGTTCCCTTCTTTTTGTAATTTTTTGGAAGGGGAAATAGTTATTATAGTTTGTCTTTTCTTTCCTTTTGTATATATGTCAGCCCAATTAGATATGGAATTCTGGTTTTTAAATTGATTTTCTTAGACTCTGAAGGCAATTCTCCATGATTCTTTGGCATTCAGTATTGTGAAAAACTTGATGCCAACTTGAGGATTGCTTTTGTAAGTCACTTGCCCTCGCCCTTCCCTGTCGGCACCCCCGTGCTAAAGCTTGTAGGATTCTGTTTTTAGTGCTGAAATGAAATATTTCATCAAGATATATCAGGCTTAAGTCTGCTTTAATTAAGTTTACCTGACATTAAACATGTCCTCTACACTTGTAGTCAAATGACTTTCTTCAGCTCTGCTAAATTTTCTATTGCTTCTTCCTCTTTTTTTTTTTTTTTTTTTGCTGCTCTATCTGCCAAGTTCTTTCCTTCTAGACCTCTATCTTTTTCAACTTTTATTTTAAGTCCAGGGGTATATGTGCAGGATGTGCAGGTTTGTTACATAGGAAAACATGTGCCCTGGTGGTTTACTGCACAGATCATCCCATCACCCAGGTATTAAGCCCAGCATCCATTAGCTATTCTTCCTGATGCTCTCTGTCCCACAACCCCACAGGTGCCCAGTGTGTGTTGTTCCCTGCCATGTGTCCATGTGTTCCCCTCAATCAGCTTCCACTTATATGTGAAAATATGTGGTATTCGGTTTTCTGTTCCCATGTCCTTCTAGACTTCCTATAAAACTTATTTGAGATCTCCTGGATCTTTCTTCTAAATTTTTACTTCTCTGGCAGCATTTTTTACAGTTTTTTGGAGTTCTGGAAGAAGTTTTTAAGCTTATTTTTCTAATCCATTGATTCAAATTCTACAGAATCTCCTCTTGTATTCACAAGTTCCATTACATTAGAAATTTCATGGTCATATTTTTCATCTCAAAGCAACTTTTTCTGCTCTCAGGTTCTACCTTTTTAATGACTTATTGGGTTTAGTTCGTACACACAATGTTCTCTTGAATCTTCTTGAAAGTACACATTGGATATTTTCTATGATTTTTCCTAGCTTTTATTAATAAAACCATTCTTAGGAAATATTTTGTCTGCCTTCTCAGCTTGACTGCCTTCTAACTATCGACTCCCTTTAGAATTTTCTCTTTGCTTCTTGCAAATAACACATGGATGGGATAGGGAATGAAGGAGTGATTGGGTAAGTAGAATGATGGAGGACATTCTAGGTTTGCCCATATTTGGAGATTTATGTGACTTCTTTTAAACAGATGCAGTTTGGGACAAAATAAAAAATAAAGCAGGAATAAAGAGGAGGGAAGAGAAGGAATAAAGAAACAGGTAGAAAGAAATTACAAAAGGAAGGAAGGAAGGGAGGAAGAAAAAATAATGAAGGAAATTAAAAAGGAAAAGGAAAGAAGAGTTACCGTTATTGTAGTTTTACATTGAAAAATCATAAGGTGGTGACCTCTGAAGAACAGGATGTAAATTAAGGCTGGGTGGGGGTCTGGACAGCAACATCAAGAAGTCTTGTTCCTATGCCGAATAGATTCAATTCACTCTCTTACTGCTGGAATAATGTGCCTGTTCTCTGACTGTCTTTTGAGACCAGATGTAGCATTGCCCCTATTCTGTTTGGCTTGCTGTATGATTCAATAGTAAACTGGGGAAAAATTATGCAGAGTAATCCCATCCCTGTCAGCTCCAGATTTGCAACTTCCCTCCAGTACCTGCTACTTCGTCCGAATGCCCTGCTGCTATCAACTTCGAGTCAGTGTGGGAATTGTGACTTGGTCAGCAATTTTCTCAGTTTTCTTGCTTACAACATATTCTGCAGGAATTGCTTCACTTTTTCATAACAGTTTTTTGTTTCCTTCTATGGTTTTCAGAGCTGATGCAATTTTCCCACAGTTTCTGAATTCCTTTGGTCATTTCATTGGGGATATTGGAGAGTTAGAAGTTAAATGCAAGTATTCAGAACAAAGTCTGTGTTTTAAATGTGTGAGTAGATTATTATTATCAGGTATGACATGACAATTAACACTTTAACAAACTATTGGAAATATTTAAACATCCCTCAGTTTTGTGGTTCCCAAACTCTGGTGACAGATGAGTTGCATCTGAAATACCTGGAAACTGTTTTGCGAATGGTGAGGTGACTCTCAAGAGTTCCAATTTAGAAGGTATGTTGAGGGTCCTTAAAATATGAGTTTTAAACCTCTTTCCAAGCAATTTTTACGATCAGCTAGGTTTTGGAGTGCTATCATGTAAATGTGTCCCCCAAAAGTTCATGTGTTCAAAACATAACTGCCATTGTAACAGTATTAAGAGGTGGGGTCTTTAAGAGGTGATTAGGTCAGAGGGTACTCTGCCCTCATGAATAGATTAATGTTGCTGCCTCGGGAGTGAGCTCCTGATAACAGAATCAATTTTGCTCTATTTCTCTCTGTCTTGCAGATTCACACCCCAGGTGATGCCTTCTGCCATGGGACGCCCCTCACCAGATTCTGGTGCCGTGCTCTTGGACTTCCTAGCCTCCAGAACCACAAGCCAAATACACTTTGGTTCTTTATAAATTATCCAATCTGTGATATTCTGTTATAGCAGCAGGAAATGAACTAGAACATCGAGTCACTTCCCTAATCTAGAATAGCCAACTCTTTGCAATTATGATCTTATTATTCAATTTTTGATTTTAGGAACTCTTTCTCCTTCCTACTTCTGAGGATAATAGAATACATTTTAGTCTTTTGCTTATGAGAACAAGTATACATTAATTTTTCTTTCTTTTAATGTTTTATGACGTTTGTTAACATAACTGGAGACCCCTTGAAGTGTGGCAAGAAAAACATTATCGCTCTAACTGTAGGGTGGTTGTAGCTACATCCGAATGAGGCACATTTTGAAAATGAGATAGTAATCCCCTACAAATTCTTTGCTGGAGTTCTTAGATCTGGAGAAGTAATTTCATCATGCATTGTGATTATTTGAGAAAGCCCTGTTGTGCCTTTTTAAGATGATAGTGTGGAGCTGATGGGGGGAAAATAAGCAGGAACAGCTGGAGGCTTTGCAAGTGCTTTCATGAGCAGGATGTTCCATGCCAGGAGGGAATGCATTTTACTGGAATTTTTAAATAAAAATGTTCTACTTCTTGAATACGTTTTTTTAAATCAGTATTATTTAGAAATTTCAGTGCTGGCTTTATTTTCTGTAATAACAAGGACAGACATGCTTATTGCTAAAGATGTAGTTAACACAGTTTGGTTTTATTTGGGGAGTGGTTGGCTATTTAGATTAATCCATAATCAAATCCACTAATGTCAGTGAGAAATATTCATACTTAGAATGACATATGCAAATACATAAAAATAAAAGGCATTTTTAAACTTTGTTTTTAACCTAGGAACTCTGCCTCCGGTATCTAAACATCTGGTTTCCATTCTCTTCGTCAAAGCTAACAGCCAGAGCCCTTAAGAAGAGAGATTAGATATAAAATCCTGATAAATCCCATTCAGTTTGAGCTCTGTACCAGTAACAGAACACCATTTGTTGTCCATCTGTCTTTGGGTAAAATGGGGGAGCTTTGGAGCTAATACCACAATGAAAAAAAGTGATTGGAGTTTATCTTGCACTGTATTTTATTCAGACTGCAATCTGATGACACAGATATATACCACACTATACTCTGAAATCACCAGAATAAAATTGTTTTAGGCCCTTATATAATACTGTGCTAACTAAACAATAACAGCCACATTTAAATGGTCTGCAGGTTACACAGACAAACTGCAGGTTTTCTTTTAGGTTTACCACTCCCCTAGGAACTTTAAATCTCTTTGTATCTAATCTCTGTCTTCTTCTATCTCTCATTCTGTTTATAAGTGCAACTTGGGACTCAAAACAGAAAAGCACTTGCAAGGTTTAAGGGTTTAGAACTCTACCTCTCAGGACAAAACAAATTAACAAGCAAATCTCTTGTGTAGGTTATTGCATTATCATCAAGATGAGAATCTTAACAATTTATTTAATTATAGAAGATGTGTATGAAAGATGGGTAGTAAAAGAGCTATTTAGATATAAAACATAAGTCAATGATAGGTATACAAAAGGCATATAGAACAACAGCAAGAATACGTGTTAGGTCCTGCCCGTGTTTCAAAGCCACTAAGTTCTGTTAGGGCACAAATTATGCATGCACACAAAGCTATGCATGCACACACGTGCACACACACACACAATGGCATTTGCCACTGTGTTAGTTGTATTAGTTTTCTATGTTGGATAGAAAATAACCACTAACTTAGTGGCTTGCAACAATATTAATTTATTATCAGAAATCTGGCATGCTTTAGTTGGGTTCTCTGATCAGTGTCTCATGGTTGCAATCAAGGTGTCTGCTGGCTGCATCTTCATCTGGAGGCTCAGTTAGGGAAATCTGTTTCCCGGCTCTCTCAGGTTATTGGCAGGATTCATTTTCTTGAATTTGTATGACTAAGGTCCTCATTTTCTTACTAGCTGTTGGCTGAGGATAAACAAAATGTGATATATCCATATAATGGAATGTTATTTGGCCATAGAAGGGAATGAAATTCTGATACATACTACAACAGAGAAGCTCCTTGAAGACTTTATGCTTTTCATATTTTCATAAGTGAAAGAAGCCAGACACCAAAGACCACATATTATGATTCCATTTATAAGAAATATCCAGAATAGGCAAATCTACAGGCACAGAAAGTGGATCTGTGGGTACTTTGGATTGGGGGGATAAAGTGGTAGGAAAATGATGGCTAAACAGGGTTTCTTTGACGGTGATGAAAATGTTCTAAAATTAGCTACAGTAATGGTGTACACCATTGTGAATATACTGTGAATCCTTGCATTGCACACTTTAAATGATTGAATTGTATAGCGTAAGAACTATATCTCAGTAAAACTCTTAATAAGGAAGTTATAACTGCTGAAAGGAAATCATGTTAAGTAAACAGAGGTAAAGCACAAACTTCAGGCCCCTTTCTCAAAGCCTAAGTAAGAAAGGGAACCTCTTTTACAACAGAGTAACTTTCCCCTGGCAAAATCTTTCCAATTCACTGAGAATATACATTTTTGTCTACCTTTTCATCCAAGAAGTTCCAGTGAGGACATGTTTCTTATTCATACTGAGAAAGCTCTCGGGAAGGTGTAAGAGTGGGCTCTGATACTGAATTTCAGGAAGAACAACATCTTGTCTTTGCTTTTGAGATTGCTTGCTAGTTTACTTATGCAAAGTACCTTCATCTGGAGGGTTGGGAAGTGGGTGAAACTTGGGAATCGTTAAACAGCTTCAAGGAAGCAGGACTGCTTCTGCGTTGTAGTTACAAAGTCAAAGATCCAGGTTTCCTAAGAGAGAGATAAGAGGAGAAATGTTGCTCTGGAGTTTGGTGGAGCTAAACTGGACTAAGAGCTTTGAGGGAGAAGAGAAGAGATAAGAGGCCCATAGTAATGGACACTTACAAAGGCAGGTACTTTGAAAATGCTCTCACTTTAAGAAGTGTTTTCAGTATTAAATAATTGCCACACCCATTTCGTGAATTAGATTATGTCATGTCCATTTCTCAGATGAGACTACTGGGGTCTGGAGACATGGTCACAGTTAGCCATGGAATTGTAACTGAATGATGGGTCTGTATGATTCCTTGAGGCTTCATTCTCCGCCCTCTTCTCTTTTTACTTCATACCACTGGTTCTCAACTGGGGTCACTTTTGCCCCCACTGTCCCCCAGAGGACATTGGGTAATATCTGTAGACATTTTTGGTTGTGACAACTGCATGTGGGAATGCTACTGACATCTAGTTGTGTAGAAGCTATGGATATACCTAAACATTTTACAATACACAGCGCAGAATTGGCTGGCCCCAAACCTCAGTAGTGCAGAGGTTGATAACCCCAGCTTTAAACACAGCTTTGTAGCTCATCAGCTCGTGTGTGTTCAGCAAGAATTCATAGTTGATTCTGACTTCCACATATATTTCCCCAGTCCAGATGTCTGTCAAGAACTTTGGATTGATGTATGCAACTGCCTCCTCTCCTCATTTATTCCCAACTCAAACTATTCAGTCATCATATATTGAGTCAGTATTTAGGTGTGCAATTGTGACGTAAATATCACAATTTTGGTGTACAGTTGATTTCTTTAAATCAAGGTATAAATAAGGTCCACACATGGTGATTGATAGGCATGTCTCTGATTACTCTTCTAATCTGTAGTCTTTCTCTATTTCTTTTTTTCATTTTATTTTTGTAATTTGTTTGTTAAGAAAAGTAGGTGATTTGTCCTGTTGATTTTCTGATTGTAACCTGTATCATTTTAAATTTCCTGTAATTGATCTGAAGGTTTGATTAGATGTTTAATTAGATTCAGGTTTAACTTTTTCTTTTAGCAAAATTAATTCATAGGTAACATTATGTTCTCCTGTTCAGAGGCACATAATGTCTATTGGGTTTTCTTTCGTGGCTTTAGCAGCTATTGCTGATCAATACCTACTCCATTACCTCATTTATAATTGCAAAATGGTTATGTACTAATTAAATTATTCCTTCCTCATTTATTAGCTGAAGTATTTCTATAAAGAGAAGCATCCCATCTAGTACTGTTTACCCTTTGGTGCAGTTCATATAGAAAAAGCAAGATAAATGCTTCAATCTTTCCCTTTATTTAGCAGTTTTAAAACAATTTATTGGTATTCTTTGGTGGCAGCTAATCTGTGTTATCAGAGTATCATTATAGACTGAAGCTTATGTGATGCACTTCAATCTATTGTAGTTATCATTATTGACACTCAAATTGCCCATCTTTAATGACAGCCCGTGGAAGTTGACTTGTTAGTCCCCTCAGATCTGGGAGTGAGGAGGTTAGGAGTAGAGGCCGACCTGCTCAGCTGCTCTAAATAGATTTCCTCAGTGTTCTGCACTGATGTTTGCCCTGTATCTCTTCTGCATAAGGTTGGGATACCCTTGGTTCTCTCTTACATCTTTTTCTCTCTTGTTCATACGTTGGCCTGTGACTTCTTTGTCCATCTGATTCTGTTTAATTTCTATTTTTATGCAAATCTTCTATTTCTGAATTCCTTATTGTTTCCCAAGGCTGTTATTTATTTGGTCTTTCAGATGATGCTCTTCGTCCCTGGGGGAAAAGAGGTATTTGGTAAGAGTCAGGAATTGATGGAGTCTGCTGTCTTGATGGAATCTGAGAGATCTTTCAAAAATGTGAATCAAACAATGCTGCTTCCATGACTGAAACTCTTATAGCCCACACCTGCTACAGATCACGTCCAAATTCTTTAAGGAATTCTGTTATCCTCTAAATCCTGCTTAACTTTGCTTCTTGCCTGACACCTTCTGCTCCCAAAATTTCAGCCATGTGAAATCTCTTTCAGTTCTCCAAACATGGCACACGTTTCTCCAGCTTATTGTTTTCTGCTGACTGTGTTCTTTCTGCCTTGTCACCTGGAGTACATTCCCTTCTTTCTCACCTTTTTCTCAACTTCCCTTCCTCCTTTATGTCTCGGTTTAGATGGTATTTCTTCCATTAGGTCTTCTTTGAACAGGGTGCATATGTCTCCGACTTTTCCTGGGAAAGTTCTAGATTATGCCTGCTGAAAAATAATTAGTGCCTTTAAATTATTTTTAATATATCTTTTCATTCTTACAAGGGTCCCTATTTGAATAATACATTATATAATCACTCTATCTCCGAATTTACATTTCCAGAACTGTGTTATATTTCTTTTGTATGGATTTCCATGACATTTCATAATTGCATCTAGCATGTTTCAGGTGCAATTATACTTTCCTATTTACTTACCTTTGTCATGGAAATAATCGTGTCCAGCTCAAATTCATATGTTGATGCCTTAACCCTCAAATGTGACTATAATGGAGATAGGTTCCTTAAATAGGTAATAAAGATTAAATGAGGTCATAAAAGTGTCATCCTGAACCCCTATTTACTCCAATAAGGATGGTGCTGTGTCTGAGAGGCTGAAGAAGAGACCTGGAGGCAATGAATAAAGACATAGGGCTCTTTGGGGGAACTTGCTTACAGGGACAGTCCAGTGGCAGTGAGCTGGACAGGAGAAGTGCTACCATTTGTAAAAGGTAGGCAGTTTACACAGTATTTTCACACAGAACCATCCATCTAGCAATCACTATTTAACCCAAAACAAAGGACCTCGATCCACTGGACAGCCTGTGTTCAAAGGGAAGGGCCAGGGATTCAGAAGTCTGAACACACTTCTTCTCAGACCACAGGGTCATTCTCAGGGTGTGCTTAAGTTATTGCCAACAGGTGTATCTGCTGTAGAAAATGTGAGTCCCTAATCCAATAGGACTAGTGTCCTTATAAAAAGAGGAAAAGACACCAGGAATGCACATACACAGAGGAAAGGCCATGTGAGGACACAGCAAGAATATAAGCATCTGCAAGCCAAGGAAAGAGGTCTCAAGAGAAGCTAAATATGTTGATACCTCGAGCTTGGACTTCCAGCCTCCAGAGCTGTGAGAAAATAAATTTCTGTTGTTTAAGTCACCCAGTTTGTGGTATTTTATTATGGCAGTCCTAATAAACTACCACAGCCTTCTTCACTAGATTGGCTTAATTTTTGTATCTGTACCATCAGAATACAAAATTAATTTTTATTTTATATCCATATGATCAGTGCTAGGTACATGGTGGGCATTGTATAAGTCAAGGTTCAGTCTGACAAAACAGAGCCCTTAAGAGTGAAATGTATTTGATCTGTGTACCCAGTTACTGTCACCTAGCTTCTAAAACCACTGGAATTTCCTAGGTAATTAGAGTGTCTTTTGTTATTCATGGACCTCCTTTGATCATACCTGTATTTATCCTAATACTGGGATTTAGGACAGGGCCCTTGGATAGCCTCAAGATGCTGCCAGTTATCCGAAAGACCAAGTGACTAGAGAATTAAAGGGTTGGAACTTTCAACCCCATCCATTGACCTGATGGAAGGTGCTGGAAATGATAGTCTATAAAAACTCTTTGAACAATGAGATTTAATGAGCTTCCTGGTTATTGAACATGTGGAGGTGCTGAGAGGGTGGCAAACTCAGAGAAAGATGAAAATTGTGACACCCCCCACCCCAGACTTGTATCCATCTCTTAAATCTAGCTGTTCATTTATATCCTGTATAATATCCTTTAAAGCAGACCAGTAAATGTAAGTAAAGTCTTTCACTCAGTTCTGTGAGTTGTCTTAGCAAATTATAGAACACAGGGAGGCAGACCGTGGGAATTCCAGTTGATACAACCATTGGTCAGGATTACAGGTCACAACCTGGGATTTGTAATTGGCATCTTAAGGTAGGGGGGCAGTTTTGTGGGATTGAGCTTTTAACCTATGGGATCTGACTCTTAACCTGTGGGATTGATTTGAGTTATAGGACATCCAACTGGTGTCTGCTAAAGAATTGCTTGGTGTGTTGAGGGGGAAAAAACCCACGAATTCAATCACGGAGGCATTCTGTGTTCAGTGTGAGAGTAGAGAGAAAAATGTGGTTTTGGTTTTGGTTTGCCTTTTATAAGAAAAAATGTATAATAGGGAGTTGGCCTTATGTAATTTTGGAAGTTGCTTAAATGGTCTAACAGAGTCTATTGTGTTCGCGCCTGATTCTGAAGTCTGAATCAGGAGACACCCACCTGGGAAGAAAAGATGAAGGCAAAGTGGTGAAGAGCAAGAAGAAATTAGAACCCACGAGAATGAGCTGGAACTCCAACGGGTGAATTAGAACTATGTCAGTCTTTCCAAACCTCCGGTTTCAATGCTGAAGGGGCGACCTTCAATCGAAGTTTGAGCCCTTTGTCATAGAACTAAATATTCACCTGATCAGGGAGTTGAAGAAGCTTGTCAGAGAGTTGAGGGGGTGTCTGATTGGAGCAGAAAAACTGGGACTGAGATATGCCCTATGCTATTCTTGGGGCTTGGAAAATAAAACTGCAAAGATTGGCACTTTGACATGCTGACAGGCCTTAGAAGCTGCCTCAGAATCAAGGTCCCTCTAATATTGTCTTCTTCCCCCAACGCTGCTTCCTCCCAAGCACAAGAAGGGATTCTCTGGAATTTTCTTATTTCACCATGAAATCTTATTTCCAAAATGAAAAAGACTACCTTCTTCCTCTCCCTGAAGTCCCCCTGTCTCTCTCAGAAAAGAAGACTGAGGAATGCACCTAGGATGGATTTTTCACAAGAGAATGCCTGCCTTTCTGGCTCATTCAAATTCCAAGTAGAATCATTTACAAGTTAATTTCTGTCAATTTCTTCTCCTTAAGAATCATTTGCTGCCTCTGAAAAGCATTGTCCACATTCCCCATCTCCCCTTTCCCCTATGAAAAATGATATAAGCTTCTGTACCTCATTGGGTTATTGGGTAATCATTCTCCTGAGAATCACCTGTGCTGTGCATGTTAAAATAAAATTGTGCAAGCCTTTTCTGCTATTGATTTGCCTTTTGTCAGTTGATTTTCAGTGCAACTTCAAAGTGCAAAGAGGTCATTTTCTTTTGGCTCCTACATCTTCAAGGCAAGCCAGCAGACGGGCACAATGTACATGAGTTGCAATGGTGCCCAGTGGACCTGTGCAGGTCTTCCAAGTATTTGTATTTTATTTTATTTTATTGTATTTTATTTTATTTTATTTTATTTTATTTTATTTTTTTTAAGGCTGCTGTTTCACTTCCACTTCTCAGTTTTTGCAAATGTCATTTGTGGTCCATACTTAACTTGGAGTTATGTAGTGAAGGGAAGTCTGAAAACCGTGGTTACACCTTAGCTAAGTTGATATGATATAAATCCACCACAGCTTCTCAATATTATTTGTTAAATAAATAAATGATGCTGAAATTATTGACTTTATCATAGTATCATGATCCTTCTCCTAGAATGGGAAGAACCCTTCCGACCCATTTAAACTCTAGTATCTTCTCAAGGAGCTTTATGTGTCAGTTTGGTCCTGCACATTTTGAGACTATTACAATTTTATTATGAGTGTGAAAGGAAAATATGGGACCCCCAAATCACTAAGCCAAAGGGAAAGGTCAAGCTGGGAACTGCATCAGGCAAACTTACCTCCCGTTTTATTCCTAAATAAGATAGCTACAAAAATATAAAGTATATACCTCCCTCACAAT